AATTCAGATAGATCAGGGAATAAATAGACATGGACTGGGTTTTCAGAAGGGGTCACTGAGGCAATAAAAATTACTTGGAAATCAGATAGACCAGTATGGGTTCCTCAGTGGCCCCTGACTAAAGAAAAGATACAAGCAGCCCATGACCTGGTCAAACAACAATTAGCGGAGGGACATATACAACCTTCCGTATCTCCTTACAATACTCCCATTTTTGTCATTAAAAAGAAATCTGGTAAATGGAGATTATTGCAAGATTTAAGAGCCATTAATAATGAGATGGTTATTATGGGACCTGCTCAATCAGGGATTCCTCAATTGTCTGCTTTGCCAAAAACCTGGTACGTTTTAGCTATAGATATTAAAGATTGTTTTTTTTCAATTCCAATTCATCCTGAGGATAGTCCACATTTTGCATTTACTATCCCTGCACTGAATCATGAAGGTCCTGATCAGAGATATGAATGGAAAGTACTCCCTCAAGGGATGGCTAACAGCCCAACTATGTGTCAAATTTATGTTAACAAAGCAATCCAGCCACTTAGAAATCAAAATCCTAAACTACAAATATTTCACTATATGGATGATGTATTGTTAGCACACAAAGATAAAAACACATTGCTAGAATGTTATGCCACACTTACAAATTTATTAAAAAATTATAATCTAGAGATAGCAATAGATAAAGTACAATTAAATTTTCCAATTAATTATTTAGGAGTTCTATTATCCTCAACCATGGTCCGTCCACCAAAAATTCAAATACGAGTAGATCAACTCAAATCACTTAACGACTTTCAAAAGTTATTAGGAGACATAAATTGGATAAGGCCTTATCTAGGCATACCAACAGGAGAGTTGGGACCTTTATTTGATATCCTAAAAGGTCCATCAGATCCAAATTCACCCCGCATGTTAACGCCTGAAGCAAGAAAGGCATTAAAAATTATTGAAACATATATGGAAAATATGCATTTGGATAGAATTGATATAACTTTGCCTTTATTATTTATTGTAATACCAACAAAAAATATTCCTACAGGAGTATTTTGGCAAGAAGGTCCATTATTGTGGATACATTTATCTTATTCTCCTAACACTATTCTTACTAGGTATCCTGAGGCTGTAGGACAATTAATACTCAAAGGAATAAAAGCAGCAAAGGGAGTGTTTGGAATTTCTCCCAATAAAATTATTACTCCATATACTATGGATCAAATTGATGAGTTAGCTAATGAGTTAAATACTTGGGCAATAATCATGTGTAAATCTAATGTTTCATTTGATAATCACTTACCATCTAATCCTTTGTTGTCTTTTTGGTCTTCGCATCCTGTAGTTTTTCCAAAAATGACAAGAAAAACCCCTATCATGAATGCTCCAAATGTATTCACTGATGGGTCAAATAATGGTACAGCAGCAGTAGTTACCCCTGATCAAACTTTTACATTTTTAGTACCCAAACAATCAGCTCAAAAGGTAGAGCTTAATGCAGTTTTACAAGCTTTTGTGATGTTTAAAGATTCTGTATTTAATTTATTCTCTGATAGTCAGTATGTAGTTAATGCTATAGTATCCCTTGAAGATGCTGGCAGGATTTCCCCTTCCTCTACTGTTTTCTCTTTGTTTTCTGCTATACAAAGTGTAATCTGGGACAGAAAAGATCCATTCTTTATAGGACATATCAGAGCACATACAGGATTGCCTGGAGCCCTTAGTTTGGGCAACGATTTAGCAGATAAAACTACACATGACATACATATTTTCTCTACACTAGAAGAAGCTACACATTTTCATAAAAGGTTCCATGTCAATGCTAATACTTTACAAAAGCGTTTTAAAATAACTAAGGAACAAGCTAGACAAATAATAAAACAATGTCAAAATTGTGTGACCTTTTTACCACAAGTTAATCTTGGAGTCAATCCTAGAGGACTGATACCTAACCATATTTGGCAGATGGACGTCACACACTTGCCACAATTTGGAAAATTAAAATATTTGCATGTTACAGTTGATACTTCTTCCGGATTTTTGATGGGCTCCCTTCATTCCGGAGAAAAAACTAAAGATGTTATAGCTCATTGCTTACAAAATTTTGCCACTGTGGGCGTTCCAAAACAGTTAAAAACAGATAATGGTCCTGGTTATATTTCTACCTCTTTTAAACAATTTTGCTCATCATTTGGCATTACTCATATAACAGGAATTCCATACAATCCACAGGGACAAGGCATAGTTGAAAGAGCTCATCAAACTATTAAAATGTACTTACTAAAGCAAAAAGAGGGAATTGGAAAGGGGTATATGTCACCCAAAGATAAACTTAAAATAACCCTTTTTACTCTAAACTTTTTAAATTTGGATTCCTCAGGGCTTAGTGCTGCGGAAAGGCATATGTGTCCAAAAAATGTACATAAGCCTAAGGTACTTTGGAAGGATATTCTAACAGGACAATGGAAAGGTCCTGACCCAGTGATTGTCTGGAGTCGGGGTTCTGTTTGTGTTTTTCCACAGGGAGAACAGCAGCCGATTTGGATTCCAGAGAGATTAACTAAAACAATTTCTACAGGCCAAAAGGAAGATGATTTGACTCAAATCCATAACAGCTGATATCCAGAACTCCAGTTTGGCTATTCTTACATCTGCGACGGTGATTAACCAGGATGTTTTTTTCAATATTTATTTTATTATTTACCTTTTCCCACATCATAAAGTTCTATTTTATTTTTGAGCTCATACAGACCTAGGTTAATGTTTTTCTGATCAGTTTTATTTTTTGACTGTGGAGTTTTTAAGCATTGCAATGGAGATTTCACCTAGGTAAAGCTACAAGGCCTTTACTATTGTCTTATGTGTTGTATGTTATGTGTGCACACTTCTGTTTTGTGTTGTATGTCTGTATGTGTGTATGTCCATATATCATATATGAGGAGCGCTCATGAATAAATGGATCCGAATTTTTTTTATTCATGTGATTTTAATGGTTTAATTTAGATTGGGTAAACAGCTGTTGAAAATTGTTTTAATATGTGAACAAATAAGGAGGTTAACAGATCTGGTTGTTTACTTTCACCTTTCCTTCTCATTATATTTAATAATTCTGTTCAGGATAATGTAAATTGTTCAAAAAATTGTTTTCTTAGTGCCTGTTGGAATGTTACATAATTTTTTTCTTAGCATCATTGCCAGAATTCCTATCTTCATCCCAGTGCCGGTGAAGACAAAGATAAAACCAAACTACAGCTTCTTCGATAGTTATCACAACAAACTGTAAAAACTGATGCATCAATGAATAATAACTCAACAAGTAATGCTCAATTAAGGAGTTGATTTACTTTGGGAGGAAATGGACATATTGACAGATTCCTCTGCTTTGAATTGCTTGCAGACCTTGCCTGGACTATGTATCATTTGTATGCATTGTGAACTATCTGTTGGTACAGCGAATTGTGGTAGTGCTGGAGTATTTTTGCTGATGGTGTCACCGGTGGTACAATTTTTCAAAGGAGCCCTCAATTGGCTTAGTGTCATGGCATTTTGCATCCTCCTCCCTTCTACTAGTGATGGTCTAAAATTTGGGGGCCAACAGAGGTGAGGCAAAGAACCTCACCCCCCACTGGTGCAAAGGCCTATCCACAAGTATGGCTGTATGCTGGACCGGTAGTCAGTGACGGGTATGATCCAATTGCAGTGGTACCAACCTAAGACAGGAGGCTGACGCCTAGAGGTCAGTTCATCCGATGACGGGTAAGGACCATATGTTGAATTGGACTGCCTAACAGGCACGGTCCCTAAGCCACATTGCTTGTTGTTTAATTAAACAAAAAGGGGGAGATGCTGAGAGCCACGGCGGAGTCTGTATGGCCCCTGGCATTTTGCCAACAGTATTGATTGACAGGCGAGGCATTACTATCCGCCTATGCCGCAACTTTTGAGTTCTCGCACTATTTTGGAGTTCTCATGGGGATTTCCGGGGATTCCCCGAGAGTTCCCATTGGTTGGGGAAGTGCAGGAGGAGGGATTTCCGGGAGAGATATTTCCGGCTGGGGGTTCCTGGACAAGCCTCGTGGCGCGTTCGGGAGGATTCCCCGGGAGCTGTGTGAAGTGTTTTCCTGCAGTTTAAAAATAAAGTTTGTTCCTGCTTCAGTGGCTCGTGATTTGTGCCCAGCCAGACTGCGGCACAAAGTAATAGAAATTAAACTTTCTCCTTATTCTCACTATCCTTTTTACTTACAGCCTTCTCTTGGGATTAGTCCTCCCTAGTGTATAATTAGAATATCCATTCTCCTATGAGGATTCTACTTAGTCGTTAGTTTAATTCCACTACTTGAATATATACCTAACCTGGACTTGTCCCTTGATACTCTTCCACTCGATAAATGTCTATCAACTAACCAACTCCTAATATATGCCGGGTACAATTCTAAATGTAGAGTTTCTGTAATGAACAAAACAAAAATCTCAGACTTCAGCTTCCATTCTACTGGGAGAAATATTTAATCAATCAATCAACCAATGATAATAGGTAAGAATATGTGCTATGAAAAAACAGATAAATTAAATATAAAAAATATAATGATTATCACATCAGATGGGCATTTATAAAGGAGAACGTATGTTGCTATATTCTACAAAAAAAAGCAGCAAGCTCTCTGGTTATTTTGAATATATTAAAAAATAAGAAATATGATTCAACTGAATGAGTAGTAGATTATAACTAATAAAATCAGTTTGTCATATTTCTATAAATTTAAAAGTTATAGAGAAATAATACTTTATACTAGTGTATAATGCACTTATATAAATAGTATCTTAATTCTCTTGGGTTGGAATTTCTCACTAATCAATACTTATATACAAACTTCTAAAATGTCCTTTCTCAAATATTTTAAGTATTTCAAAGGAAATTTAAATAGGATAAAATCTTTGTTTTTATTTAGGTATTCCCTCTAAATTATTATCAAAATAATACAAATAAGTTTGATATTATAACTTACCCTACACAGTCCACTTCTTCAGGATAATTTAGCAAGCGAAGCACTTGTTCTAGGTTCCGTAAGCTTCTTTTTAAGTCACCTGTTGCCATTATTTAACATTAGATTCAGCTCCAACTCTTGAAATAATCTAATTTATCACATAAAAATAAAAATCCAAGAAAGAGTGGTTAAGTCAGTTTACATTTTGAAATTTCTCTACTCTTCCTTGTTCATCTCTCTCATGGGCACTTGCTATGTTGATTTTATCCCAGCTCTATTTCTGCTATTATCTTTCCTACCTGTCAAGTACTTACTGACTTGTATCTACTATAAATTCTAGAATGTACAGTGAGCTTCTTTCCTACCACCCATTATCTTTCCCTTGCAAAAAAGTTTGCTTTATGTTCATGTTCTTACAACGGATTTCATATGACATTCTCCCAAATGTTTTGCTTTGAACAATAAAGTAGAATTTGGAAAGACACAGCAAGTTAAAATGGCCTCTATCAGTGACTATTTTAGATACTTACATAAGATTTACATGATGCAATCAGTAAAAAATGAAGACACAGAAATTTGGCAGAGACATAGTCATTATTCCTAAGGCTCTGACCTCACACAGTTGCCAATCAGATGCTTTCTTTACAAATAAATATAGATGAACAAAATCCATTAAATAAATAAATAAATAAGTTCAAGGTCCACCTACATAAGACAGATTAAAAGAATATAGCTTCATTTCCATTTTCTAAACACCACTAAGATGAAAGTAAATAACTAAAAATTATATATACCCTCCAGGATAAAGACAACTGGAGGAGATTTAATGTGATAAAATAATAATCAACAAAATTATGGAAAATGGAAAGCAGATGGATGAGTGACAGCCAATCTAGCAGAGCAGACAAAGAGCAATTTAGGAAACAATAGAAACTACATAGGTTCACAAATAAGGGGCACCAGATACTTCTGAAAGGGACACAAGTAAGGCCAAGAGAATGAAGTATAAGAAAAATTATTTGAAAGTCCATATAAGGTGTGTCTAAACCCTAGACGTTTACTTTTCCTATCCCCTCTGGTCTTACACCTCCAATAACTTGTTTGGCTAGGTAACTACTTCTCTCTTTTTCTGGAAAAAGACAATAAATTTACATTCTGAGGAAAATGAAACAAAGAGATACCAAACTGGGAAACATGAGGCAAGGCAAAAATATAGAACAAATGCTAGAAGGAAGAAAGATTAAAGAAAAAAAATCAAATAGTATAATTTATTCCTACACCTCAGCTTCAAGATAGCTATTAGCTAAACATATCCTTGATGACAGCAAACTGGCAAGTTCTACTCTAGAGAAAGTAGATAAACCTAGAGAAAAATATCTTAACATTGCTGACATTTGAGGGATATATCTACTAAAATGGCCAGGATCACAACCAATAAACCTACAGCAAAACTATCCCATTCATAGGCCCTAGTCAAGCACCTCTTTGTAGAGATTCATGTTTAAAACTGAATATATACCCAAAGATCAATAACTATTAGAAAAAAGCCTTCAGGATGTAGGCAGAGATCAATATGAAATAAATTTTTAAATGTGGTAGATACAGAATTAATGCAGAAAATAAAAGAAAATTTAAAAATGAAAAGTATAACACAGACTTATGATGTGGGGTTACATCCCAATAAACCTACTGTAAGTTGAAAAGAGTGATAAGTCAAAAATGCAGGATGGGATATAGCTTAGTGATAGAGTACTTGCCTAGTGCGTCTACAGTCGTAGGACTTTGATTTTCAGTGCAATTCTCAGTACTGAAAATGAAAGAAAGAAAGAAAAAAAGGAAAAGAAAGAAAATGCATTTATTATTCTCATTAAACACACTGTAAAGTTGAAAATTTAAGTTGGACCTTTCATTGTAAGCTAGGGGCCATCCATATTCTCAATAAGGTTAGAAAGAATATTAAAACTGAATTGGGGGGATTGGCGTTGTGGCTCAATGGTGTAGTGCTCTCTTAGCATATGAAGGGCACTGGGTTCGATCCTCAGCACCACATAAAAATGAATAAATAAAATAAATGTATTTTGTCCAACTACAACTAAAAAATATTTTAAAAAACTGAATAGAAGGCTTAAAAAAGAATGAAAAAGTTTGTCATAATTTAAAAATGAGTCAGAGACTGTCAGAGTGAATTAAAAAAAAACAAGATCCAACTATATGCTTTCTGTAAGAAGACCATTTTAAAAGAGACACATATAGATTAAAAGCAAATGGATAGAGAAAAAAAACATGGTAAGACTCATCAAAAAAGTGTGAATAACTATATTAAGTTCAGACATAGCGTATTTTACAATATGAAAAGGTATCAGTGATAAAGAGGGACATTACATAATGATAAAATCAAACTCCAAGAAAATATAATAATCCTTAACATATATGCACCTGACAAAAGAACATCAAAATATGTGAGAACTGCGGGGAGAAACAGATAAATTCACTATTTTAACTGGAGACTTCTGACACCCTTCTATAATAAATGTCCAGATCTAGCAGACAGAAGATAAGTAAGGACTTATGACACCATCAATTAACTGGATATAACAGATATCTAAAAACGACTTCACCCAACAATTGCAGAATACACATTCATAAGAACACATGGAACATTCACTAAAGTAGACTCATAATAGACCATAAAACACTGTAGCAAACTTAAAAGAATAGAAATCATACAATGTCTGCTTTTACACTATAATGAAATTTAACTAAAAATCAAAAACAATTTAAAATAATAATAAAAATAAAAATTTCAATAAAAATTAGAAGATAAGTTTGAAAAAATAAATATATTATACAAAGGATGAAAAGATACAAACATGGAAAAGTATAAGAAAACCAGGGGATCAAACCAAAAGGTCTGACATCTAATGAATGGAAATTCCAGAAAGTCATCAGAGACAATGAGGGAAGAAGGTGTGAAATAATACAAAAACACCTCTTAGACCTAAATGTCATTATTTTCTAGACTGAAAGAGTCATTGAGTGATCAACATAAGTGAAATAAAACTCATGCCAAGATATATCAATGTGATGTATCTCATAAGAGAAAAGCAGTTGTTCTAAAAACATCCAAAGAAAAATAAATATATCACATATGAAGAGAATCAAAAGGAATCTCTATACAGACCTTATATGTTTTACAAAATTTAGTTTAGAAGGATCATGGATCTTAATGTATAATGTAAAAGTATAAAACTTTAAGAGGAAATATAGTAGAAAACTGATATGACCTTGAGTTTAGCAATGAGTTTCTAGATAATATCAATTTATAATCCATAAAACCAAAAAATGGTAAGCTAAGTTTCATTAAAATTAAAACTTCTGTTCTATGGAAGATATTGTTAAGAGAACAAAAAGAGGTTATGGTGTTACAAAACACATATTGGGTAAAGACTTGTTTCCAAAATATCCAAAGAACTCAAATTGAAGAGCATAAAGCCAACAACTCAATTAAAAACTGGGCAAAAGATCTGAACAGAGAATTCACCAAAGAGAAATACAGGTGGCATACAAGCATATAAGATATTCTCGCCCTGCATAAAAGTCAACTCAAAATGGTATAACACCAGAAGGTTTATAACTGTTAGAAAAGAAAACAAGAGAAATAATTCAATAGGAAGTACAAGAAACAACTTCCTAAATAAGACTCCTAGAGCTCAGGAAATAAAAGTAAGAATCAATAAATGGGATGGCATCAAATTAAAAAGCTTCTGTACAACAAAGGAAAAATCAGCATAAAGACACACAGCCTGCAATGGGTGAAAATCTTTGCCAGTTATTCTACTGAAAGATGATTAATATCCAAAAACATAAAGAACTAAAAAAGACTTAAAAAATTAAATAAATGGACAAATGATCTAACATACACTTCTCAAAGGAATAAATAAAAACCATTATATAACAATTATATTATAATATGTTCAACATGTTTAGCCATCAGGGAAGTGCAAATCAAAACTATACTGAGATTCTATCTCATCACAGTCAGAATGGCAACAATCATCAAGAATGTGAACAATAAATGCTGGTGAGGAAGCTGGGGAAAAGGAATTCTTACATAGTCTGGAATGTAAATTAGTACAGCTACTATGGAAATCAGTATGGAGATTGCTCAAAAAACTAAAAATAGAACTATCATATGATTCAGCAATACTGCTCCTCAGTATTTATCCAAGATAATTTAAGTCAGGACTTGCCCTGTATATAAGAGGGTCTGGATTCAACCCCAAGCTCAGAGAAACAAAAGCAAAACAATATGAAACAGTAATACTTGTGCCCAGAAGAATTAAAATCAGTATGCTTAGGGATACCTGCATACTCATGTTTATTGCAGCACAATTCACAACAGCCAAATTGAAACTGACCTAGATGTCTGTCAACAGATTAATGGATAAAGAAAATAAAGTATGTATATACACACTCACACACACAAAATGGAGTTATACTCAGTAATAAAGAATGAAATTAATTATTTTATTTGCAGGAAAATGAGAACTGGAGGACATCATGTTAAGCAAAATAAACCAGACACAGAAAGACAAGTATCATATACTTTCTCTTGTATATAAAAGCTAGAGGGGAAATAAAAAAAAAAAAAAAGAATGTCATGAAAGTAGAAACAAACCATTAGAGGAAGGGACAAAGGTAGGGAAATTACTAGAGAGTAATACTGGTCAGATTATGTGTTATATGCATGTACAAATAGAATACAAGAAAACTCACTATTCTGTATAATTCACATGCACCAATAAATAAATTTTAAAAATTTTTATAAAATATTTAAATAGATGCTCAACATATCATCAGGTAATTGCAATTTAAAAATAAAACAATGAGATATGTGTTAATCAGCTTTTCTCTGCTATGACCAAAATACTCGAGAAGAACAACTTAGAGGAGGAAAAATTTATTTGAGACTCAGGATTTCAGAAATGTCAGTCCATAGTTGACAGACCTCATTGCTCTGGGCTCCCAAGTTGAGGCAGAACATCATGGTCAAAGGTTCTGGCAGAGGAAAGCTATTCACTTCATGGCAACCAGGAGGCAGAAAGAGAAGGGGGAATGGGTTACAAGGAAGACAAACCCTTCTAGGACACGCCCCAGTGACCTACTTTCTCTAGTGACCTCCACTCACTAGAGTTACCACTCTGTTAGTCCATTCAAACTAGAATGGATTGATTTGGTCACAGCTCTTATAATCTAATCATTTCAACTCTGACTATTCCTGCATTAATCCAGGAACTTTTGGAGGACATGTCATATCCAAAGCATAACAAGATACTACTTCACACCTATTAGAATTGCTAGAATCCAAAAACAAAACACAACAAAAATAAGCCTATTAATAACCAAATGTATTTGAGGATATGAAGAAACAAAACTCTATTGCTAGTGAGAATTCAAAGTAGTATAGCCATTTTGGGAGATGGTTTGGCAGTTTCTTACACAACTAATCATAGTCTTACCACACATTCAGCAATTATAGTACTCATTTATCCACTAACTTAACAAAAATTTATGTATGAATAAAATCCTACATAATCAGTGTGTACAACAGTTCTATTCATAACCACTCAAAAGTGAAAGCAACCAAGACAACCTGAGGTATATTACAGTAATGTACATCCACACAATGGAATATTATTTAACAATAAAAAGAAATGTAGGATTCATCCCTGGGATGCAAGGCTGGTTCAATATACGGAAATCAATAAATGTTATTCACCACATCAATAGACTTAAAAATAAGAACCATATGATCATCTCAATAGATGCGGAAAAAGCATTCGACAAAGTACAGCATCCCTTTATGTTCAAAACTCTAGAAAAACTAGGGATAACAGGAACATACCTCAATATTGTAAAAGCAATCTATGCTAAGCCTCAGGCTAGCATCATTCTGAATGGAGAAAAACTGAAGGCATTCCCTCTAAAATCTGGAACAAGACAGGGATGCCCTCTCTCTCCACTTCTCTTCAACATAGTTCTCGAAACACTGGCCAGAGCAATTAGACAGACGAAAGAAATTAAAGGAATCAAAATAGGAAAAGAAGAACTTAAATTATCACTATTTGCAGATGATATGATTCTATACCTAGCAGACCCAAAAGGCTCTACAAAGAAACTATTAGAGCTAATAAATGAATTCAGCAAAGTGGCAGGATTTAAAATCAACACGCATAAATCAAAGGCATTCCTGTATATCAGCGACAAATCCTCTGAAATGGAAATGAGGACAACCACTCCATTCACAATATCTTCAAAAAAAATAAAATACTTGGGAATCAACCTAACAAAAGAGGTGAAAGACTTATACAATGAAAACTACAGAACCCTCAAGAGAGAAATAGAAGAAGATCTTAGAAGATGGAAAAATATACCCTGTTCATGGATAGGCAGAACTAACATCATCAAAATGGCGATATTACCAAAAGTTCTCTATAGGTTTAATGCAATGCCAATCAAAATCCCAACGGCATTTCTTGTAGAAATAGAGAAAGCAATCATGAAATTCATATGGAAAAATAAAAGACCCAGAATAGCAAAAACAATGCTAAGCAAGAAGTGTGAATCAGGCGGTATAGCGATACCAGACTTCAAACTATACTACAGAGCAATAGTAACAAAAACAGCATGGTACTGGTACCAAAACAGGCGGGTGGACCAATGGTACAGAATAGAGGACACAGAAACCGATCCACAAAACTACAACTATCTTATATTTGATAAAGGGGCTAAAAGCATGCAATGGAG